TCTCTCACCACACACTCCTCTCGGTGTACAAGTATATTACAATGTGATCTACATAATTAAGGCTCACAAATACAAATTGGTTCTCTATAATAGATGAGAACTCAATTAAGCTCACTCTCAATTGTTATAACTTCCCACAATCTAATTATACAATGTATACAAATAAAATAAGCTCAATGGTTGTGTGTGTAAGTAATGAGAAAATCAATTATAAACTCAATGTAAATCCTAGCTTAAATAAGCTCAATGGTTGTGTGTGTAAGTAATGAGAAAATCAATTATAAACTCAATGTAAATCCTAGCTTGATAAAAATGATAAACAACAAATAAAAGTAATGAGAAAATCAATTATAAACTCAATGTAAATCCTAGCTTGATAAAAATGATAAACAACAAATAAATAATATAAAGTTAGTATTGAGTTTAGAAATTCTTCTCTGAAGAAATAAGATGGAGAGATGGAGATTGAAGCTCAAATGAAGATGATCTCCTCCACTTGTGAAAACTTATTCATAAACCAAAAACCAAAACTAAAACAAACTTAAACCCTTGTTAAACTTTCTTAAAACATTCTCTTAAGTTATTTTGGAACTGAGGATATGTGAGAGTATTTATAGGAACCCCAAAGCCAAGAGAAAACAAGGCAAAAAGACCAAAAACCCAAAAATATTACAGTCTGGAAATATAGCCGTTATAGTATTATGAGTCGACTCGGTACTATTCATGAGTCGAGTCATAAGTAGCTGTTACAGGCTAAAAACCAACTTATGGTCGACTCATAAAAATCATGAGTCGACTCATCATGCATGGGTCGACTCATGAAGTCATAGGTCGACTCAGTAGAAACAAAACACACTTTCCAGCACAGTTTATCAGTCGACTTATGACAGACATGAGTCGACTCAATCTGTCTGGGTCGACTCATGATGTTATGAGTCGACTCATTAGAAACAAAATGTAAACTACACAACAGTTTATGAGTCGACTCAACACTGTTGATGAGTCGACTCAAGACATGCACACTGTATATTTTAAACAGAAATCTAATTTTCAAACCTCTTTTAAAAATAGCAAATAAAATCAAAAAAATGTAAAACTATAGAAAATGATTGTAGACATGATAATAAACATGCTACAAAAACTAGTTTTCAAAAAAGACCTCCCAAATAAAAAATATCATCATTTTGCAAAATAGTCCAAAACAGGAAAATGTAAACACATGAGTTTTGATATTTTAGCTTAACCATATTTTGAAATATTACAAAATAATTTTGTAGACTTAATAAAAGATGTATATGATTATTGTTAAGTTACAAAACTGAGAATACAATATTTTCACAAATATAATAGAATATGAAACATATGAGTATGTATACGAATATATATATATATGTTTCATATCTTATAAAATTAAACCAAACCAACTTATCCACATAAAAACAAACACGTATGAATATAAATATTTATTTATATGCTTGTAAACACTTTGTTTGTGGATAAACCAAAAGCCAAAATGTGTATATATATATAACTATATATATACATAGAAATCAATAAAATATGTGTGCATATGATATTGAGCTTAAAGTACTTAACACATGTAATATAAACTCCTAAACTAATTATACCCAAGCTTGTGATCTTCAATGAAGCTCTATCTTGGTACACTTGCGGATGAAGCTTGAAATTGAATCTTTAACTTGAATTACGTAGCTTCACTCTACTATTCTGCCAACCTCCATTGGATATGATCGTGAAAGCTTGATTCTATCCAACCTCTAACATGTTGTTTGTCCATAATAAATAGATAAATACAATCACTAGACAAACAATATTAGTAGTAAATTATTTGTTAAACATCATCAAAACAAAGAGGCCAATATCACCCACTAGAACTTATAAAGGATTAATTAAATAACAAAAATCTCGGCTTACCGTAGGCAAGCCTCGAACATAGGACTTTTTAAAATACCAAAACATTAATTTTTTGCTATGCTACTAAGGATTTCTGAAAAATACCAGTAATTAATAAATACATAGTTTGAAAACTCATTTTTGGAAAGTTGACCAAAACAAAAATATCTAACAGTTAGAACTAAAAAAGAACTATACATTTTTTGAGCAGAAAAAGCAGGGTTAGAAACCCTGCTCATATAAAGATTTTATTAATAAACAGCAAACATCACAGCTAGGTGAAGAGCCACGTAGGGTGCAGCAGGTAAGGAGTGGACCTATGTCGTCACCTACCAAACTGGACCCACAGCGGAGATTCATCTAGACGGCACATATTACATACTTACATACTAGAGTTCACTTAACACATACAAGAAACATAACAAAGCTTAGATTGGGGGACTAAACATCAACAGATAACCAACAAAAAGGTAATGTATCTTCATCATCAGGAAAAGTGAAAGAGAAAATTTAGAGGGCATGGGGGAAACTATCCCCAGATGCATCAGCCCTCTTGTTTGCCAGCTCCTGAAGTCCAGTACTTAGGGCAGCCCTGCGAAGTCTCCTTTCCAGCCTCTCATCCGCAGCACCTGTCCAGAATATAGAATATCTCCCTATGTTAGAAGCAATAAGTAGAGAATCAGGTTGTTCATCCTTGAAAATGAGAGCATTTCTACTAAACCAAATCCACCAGCAAGTACAGGGCAACAATATCTTCCAGATGAGTTTAGCATCCTTGCTAAGAAAGGTGGATTTATGAAAAAATATCAATTCCTCCACCGACTGAGGCCAACTGTTTGTGTGAATAGAGGGGAAGATGTGTGACCAAATAGCTCGTGCAAATGGGCATTTGGAAAACAGATGATCGTGAGTTTCAACCTCAGATAAACAAAAGGAGCATCTTGGATCACCTGTCCAGCCCTTAATAATCAGATTTCCCTTCGTGTTTAACTTCTTGTTTGTGATGATCCAGAAAAGAACTTTTACCTTAGTTGGGATGGAAGATCTCCAAATCATGCTATAAAACTTAGATTTTATACCCCCAGAGTTGACAAGGGAGTAGAATGATTTAACAGAGTAAATCCCCGATGGAAGAAGGGTCCACAAAAGCTCATCTGGAGTAGAAGAAATATTGATATTTGAAGAAGTTAAATGAGTGAGGAGAAGGTTTTGATCAGACCTTTCTGAAGGCGATATACCTCTTCTGATAAGGGGATGCCAGTTCCATGAATGATTGATCATTCTGCCCTGAGATCTGATACTGCAGGACTGAGATAGGGCCGCCTACGGAAGAACAACTTCGTCGTCGAACTCCGCCGACTTCCGCCAACTCCACAGCTGGCCCCCGATTTCCGCCGACTGTCTAAAATCCGAAGCCAGCCATCGTCATTCTTTTTCTGTTCAAAAATTTCTTCGGCGAATTAAGCACGCGTCCTCTCTCTGTGAAAGCTATGAACTTTCTGCCCCTAAAATTGAAATAAGTTGGAAATTTTACAACTTTTGAGAAACCCTTTTGTTTTTTAAGTTAGGGTTTTCGAAAGGAGGAGGTCCTGCTGGTTCTTTGATACCCATCTTAATTTTATAGCGCTGGTGAGTTTATTTTTCCCTTTTTCATAGCAATTATTAGAGTTTTTACATATAATCTGGTGTTTCTAGGAGTGTTTTCATGATCCTCCTGTTTAAGGAGCTTAAAAGTGTAATTTTTAACCAACTTATTTGGTTACAATTGTTACTGGCAGAGGCAGAGGGGTCTGCTAGAAATCAGATTTCGTTTGCCTTGAAATTGTGAACTAAATCAATTAATTTGATTACTTGAGAATGGCCATGGAAGGTTGTGCAAAAATAGTGTTCATCAGAACTAAGAAGAAAATAGGCGACGGAAGACATTTGACGGAGCTAATGATGTGCTACATTTTGGCTTGTATCTATGTAATGATTCTCTATATGCAAATTGGTGATAGTCCATAAAATAAGTTCTTTTAAATCTAGGAATTGTTTGCTTTCTAATTTCATTTATATCCTGCAGCAAATTGGTGATAGTCCATAAAAAAAGGTCTTTTAAATTGGTGATAGATCTCCCTCTACTCCAACTGTGAATCTGATAAACATTTCATTTATATTCTGCAGCTTTCATTTCTATTTCTAACTAAACATTTCATTTATTTTTTGTAGGTGAGGTTACTCTAATCTCGAAGAAGAAGAAGTTTCAGGGTTTTGTTGTGTGTTTGTGTAGAGCTGGGATCAACCCACATTTAACTTTGTAGTTGTTTATGTTTGATTGCAACGGATGGAGAAGGATTTATGTAATGTGTGTCGAAGTTTTGTTATGTATTGTAATGGGTACTGATTTTTCTGCTGGGACTTGAGTTGTAAACAAACCAATTCTGGGTGTCTTTATGCTGAATATGATACTGTAATGCAGTCACTGGAATTGTCTGAATATGATACTATGATGATGAAGGTGATGAGAATTATTTTTAACCAACTCAGGGTCTGATGATGAGTGTCTGCTGCTCTTTTTGGACATGCCTTTTACTGAGAGTTGTTTTTTTTTTCTTGGTTCTTCTCCGCGGTTAAATATTGATGGTCAATAAAATAGTTTAATCACGCAACTTATATGATGGGAGAAATAATTATAGCTTTTAACTACGGCGTATTCTGATAGATCACTTGTACAGGAAATGATGATGATGATCTCCGGTAAAGGATGGACCGACCAGTTCTCTTCACGATCATTAACAGTTACAAAAACAAGGAAGAAACAAGCGTGATATATTTTAAAAATCGATCTATTTGTTAAAAGTCCAATAAATAATTCAAATCAAAGCCATCTGATACCTGACTTAGACCTATATGCCATAACTAACTAGTGGAATTGTGTTGCACAGGAGCAGACATTAAAAAGAAGACGATGACCCACAAAAACTGTGCTTGCCTGGCTGACCAAAACAAAATAAAAAAACATCTTGAATAATAAATTGGCGGGTACAGGGCATGAAATTGCTTATGTTCACAAAACAAGGCTTTAGTACAAGCAAGAAATCTAGTTTAGAACAACAATAATCTTCCATCACGCTGAATTTAGTAATGCCCAAACGTTGAATACATCCTCTTGAAGATTTATAACCTATGAGCCAATGACAATCAGGTAAAGATTGCAAATCCTGAAATCCCGCGGATAGATGTAACTTGAGCTGAGTGGATGCATTCACTTGGTAACATTTAACAATTTATCCATCAGTTGAAACATAATAGTATTTCATACAAAAATCTGGACAAAGAAGCAGCGACTAGTTTTGAATGAATACATAAATGTCATCTCTCTTTGCTTTGTCTGTGCTCTCTTCGTATTGGCATACCCTTGGGGAATATCTGATCCTTAATCCACGTGTAAATGTGCACCAGGACATAGTAGGTTGCGGCGTTGGCACCCAAAATGAAACGCAAGAGGAAGAAAAATGGATTGACAAGCTTCTTCACATCCTCAACTTTTGACCCATCTGCGCAGAGATGACACAAATCAAACTCAATAAATCCAGATTAAACATGCAAGATAAATCCTAAATGGGGATGTAGTTCAATAAGGGGGAACAAACAAAACAAAACACAACTTGTCAAAGTCCTCGCTCATAAGAAAACTCGAGAACTGAATTTGTCTATGTACTTTTTAATGTGAATCCAAATCCAAATTCAAATTCCTTGAGAGGAACAAAAATCCAAATCCAAGCTCAAGCACAAGAATAAATATTACGCGGTTTTCGAAAAGAATGAGAGGAACAAAAATCAAATTGTAATTTCGTCAGTAATACACTAACTAAATGATACTGCGTCACTCCGCAAACCAAGTAACCAACACCTATGTACAAATCGCGGCAATCTACTAGTTAGACTGAATTAAGCCGAACATAAACTATGAAATAAAAAAAAATGGCACATGCACCATAAGTCTTAACATATAAAGATGTCGGTTATCATAACAAATGGTTTGGCAAATTTGTGACATATATCAACCAAAATTAACAAAAATATATCACTTTTGAAGTGATTGACATTTAGAATCTAGATATTCTACTTCAAACAGAACTGTCCATACTTGCAAAGGACATGCTTGGCAAACTCATAAAATTGGGATAGGATTGACTCATACCCATTTTTTAATTGTCTTGTTTTGAACTGTCTTATATTCAACAAAATTTAGGTTAAGGTTGACCGATTTTTAGGCCAAATTTTGGCACTAAACCTGCTTTTCTTTTGGTCCACGCCCAATAAAGCAAGTCAGGTTAGGATAAAACTAAACCAGAATCAATCCTAATCCATTTTTTTTATGGTTTTATCAAAGACAGCCAAACAAAATAAGATGGATCAACATAATTTAAGCTCGTTTAACCAAAGTATGCTTTCTTCACTAAGGTTGATCATTGCTTCATTCTACATTAGCATCCTCATAACAAAGAGAAAACTAAAATACTAGATTCATACTGAATCTAGTCCAATTTACTCTTATTCAACTACTAATCCTCTCTATAACCAGACATATACGTGATGATGTAAAGTACAACCACCCCGATGAAACTAACAGTTGTGGAGAGAAAGAAAAGAAGCACCGGATTTGAGATGGGGAAATAGCATAGATGGGGGGGGGAAAGAAATCATCTGCGACGAAACTAACAGTTGGCTCGCGGATAGCCGGAGTTGGGGGAAATAGCATAGACTGGGAAATAGCAGATTTTACCTGGCCGGAGTTTGCTCGCGGAGGAGGAAGGGTCTTGGAGGGGGGCTGAGAGAGTGATCGATCTGGTTTGGGGAAGAATATGTAATATGAAGATATATACATATATATATATATATATATATATATATATATATATATATATATAGAGAGAGAGAAAAAATGGAGAAACTGGTACCAAGTTGCTTCATGCAACTTGGTAGTGATGTGGCTAATCTTGATCCTACATTCTACATAGGAGTGTGTGAAGGGTGTTGAGGCTCTATCTTTGAGGTGTGATGTCTAGGTCAAGATTAGGCATATCACTACAAGTTGTTTTAAGCAACTTGGTACCAAAGTTCTCCATATTCTCATATATTATATATTATATTATATATATATATATATATATATAGAGAGAGAGAGAGAACTGGTGTAGCACTGCCACGCTTCCCAGGTGTGCTTCTTGCGGTGTTTTTGAAAAAAAAACACCGCGTTCCCCGATAAACGCGGCACAATAAAATCTCTCTCACTCTCTCTCTCTCTCTCTCTCTCTCTCTCCCCAAAACTCTATTTCCATTGTGAAGCAATCCTTTCCCGCTCCAAGACCCTCCCTCCTCCCTCTCTCGATCTCTCACTGGCCGCCCTCAGCTCCTCGTCCACGACCTCCGTTCCCCCATACTCCCTCTCTCGATCTCTCTCACGCTGCCACGAGCTCCTCCTCCACGAGATCCAGTCCCCCGCCACGAGATCCAGTCCCCCGCCACGAGATCCAGTCTCTCGAGATCCCCCAACTCCACCGACGGCCCTCAACTCCGCCAACGGATTTATTCTGGTAAGATCATCCTACTATTGATTATCTTCAACACTAATTCCCATATTTTGTTTTAAATTATTATGTGGCACTGATGGATGACAAGACAACTGTTCCTTACAAACCTCGAGTTATTAAGGATTAATCCAAGGTGGCCTTGGCAATGTTCTTTGGGGGAATTAATTGGACTAATTCGAGTGGAAAGTGTCAAGCTTGTATTATCTAACAAGTGGTTGCAGTGAGTTTAAAACAGTACAAATCTAGAACCATCCTCTTATCTATCAACATAAAGAACCACTATGAGGGTGGAGTTGTACTCATACTTTTTAAGTTTTGACTAAAATAAAACTCAGGTTTCAACCAAAATGGCTCAGGTTCCATGGGATGGATAGGCTACGGTAAAATCTGTTTGGATATTATGGGTGAAGACGATATGTTGATACTTGGAGCTGGGATGAAACCCCAGCCTTTGCTCATCATTGCCTCTTCAAGCACCACCATTAGATAGGAGACGTTTCTCAGATATTGGGGCTGCCTAAAACCCAATAGTCTAGTTGGTCCTTTCTTTGGCCTTGGCAAAGGTCCTTTCCTTGGCCTTGGCAAAGGAATGTATTGTGACGCCCCTGGGTTCACACAAGGCTGCAGTCCAAGGTGAAACCAAGAATGTCAAACCTGTTATGCACCACACCATGCAATAACATGTTTCACCATCACAATTAACATCTATCTAGTAGAATCAATAACTGGTGTAGGTACAAAACAGGTAAGAGATAATACAAGGAATACTGATGAAATGATAATAGTCACATAAATATCTCATCATCCAACAATACAGAAATACATAGTCAAGATCTGAGTAGATAAACTGAAATACTCAACAAGTCTCAAATACAAATATTTGACGATAAGGAGATAAGGCTCACAGCCTTTACAACTTATAGAATAATACCCTCAAATGTCTAACCTCACTATAGTGGAGCCCAAAGAAAATAATACATAGCTAGAAAGTAAAACTGAACACTAATGTGGTCCGCTATCAGCCTGCGGCTCTCCGTGCTCCTGGCTTGTGACCTGAAAGGGGGAGGGACAACGAGCGTCAAAGCGCTAGCGAGTAACATCACAACCAACCCCAAGGGAAAAGGGCTCGTTGTATAACAAAATACAGATAATATACATAATAGATCTAAAATCATTGATCCTACTATAGAGGGTTTTAGTATTTAGAAATTTACAACACGAGCATAGGTACGTCGAGCGAAATAATCCAAACAAGGAAACCCTCATGTATATACCTTGTATCTCAAATTGTTAATCTCTAAACACCAGACCCGAGGTTCTAGTACAGAAAACAATAATAAAAGAAATACAGCTAATCTCAGAGCAAAAATACAGTGCCATACCATAGCTAACATGAACATCATGTTATTACTTACATGAATATCATATCGAGATTTACATAAGTGTTATGACATAAACTCACATGAGTGACATGTTAGAAAACGATTAAGTGTCCAAAACATAGACTATATAGATTAAACGTCCAACTCATGGACTGAATATAACCGTTATCCAACGCATGGACCGGATGTGACCGTTGTCCAACGCATGGACAGGATGTGACCGTTGTCCAACGCATGGACCAGATGTGACCGTTGTCCAACGCATGGACCGGGTGATAATGTATATCCAGCACGAGGATTAAAATAGCTATGCATGTCCAACACGAGGACTAAGAGGTAATGCTTGTCCAACAAGAGGACTGCGGATTTCAGTCCAACACGAGGACTGTGAAATGGTGAAAATATCACTGGGATACATAGTGAAATCTACCTATATCAATTCACAGTCAAAACAGTGTATATATCCCTAATTGGTACTCTCAGGGCTTCTATCATGCCTGGGTACTTAGTAAGACCAAATACCAAAGTCAGATAGTCCAGGAAATCACTCGAACCTGAACAAATATTCAAAAATGTACAAAACAGGGAAAATACAACAGAGAGTTCGGCGGTCGACCGATCCGGTCGACCGAACCCTGACATGATTCTGGCGGTCGACCGCTAAGCATCTCGGTTACATCGCGGTCGACCGGATAAATGTTGCGGTCGACTGAACAAGCGTCGCGGTCGACCGAATAAACTTGGCGGTCGACCGAAGCCCTAAAACGAGCTCAGCGGTCGACCGCACCGGTCGACCGCCAAGCGGACAGAAACCCAATCTTGGTTTTCCGTCAGCTACTAAACCTGAAACAAACTTTTGAAATTTTCTACGATAATACAGATCTAATGTCTCTATAAATCATACTGTAGGAAAACAATAAATTTTAAGCATGTAAACTATAGTCCCAACATTCTAAATACAGAGAAACGAGATCAAAACGTTTTGATTACAGTAAACATGATTTAACTTTTGTTTAAGCAAATTTTCAGATCTAAATCTTTATAAAACCCAACATTTGAGAACTCTTGTAAACTGAAACTTTTGATTCTTGCTAACCATATGTAGAGAGTTCATTTATACAAAAAAATATCATTTTGGCTCATCAAAACCCATAAAAACTCAAAAGAAAATCATAGAAAACAGGGGTGAGGGATTTGGGCGAGATGGTACTCACCTTGGGTGCTGACAACTGCTCTGGAGATGATCCTCCTTTGCTCAAATCCGCGAAAAATCCCCTGAAACTCCTCCAAACTCCCTAAATCACCAGGTCCAGCTAGGGTTTTGAGAAAAGAGGAATGGGGCTAGGGTTTTACGTTTGGGCTGAAGAGAGAGGCTCTCCTGGGTTGAAATAGAATATATACTAAAACCCTAACCCGACCCGAAACCCAATAGGACCAAAACAAAACCGTAAAAGAAAATGAAGCCTGAAACTCTCTGTACGCTGGTCTGGGTTCCCAAACACTGATAAATATACATATCTGATATATATATATATATATATATATATACATGATTATTCCTCATAAGAGAATTATTCACTATTAATAATTCACATATATTTATTATAAAATTTTTGGGGTTTTACATGTATGCCCTCTAATTCTGTTGCTATTTCAAAACCACATAAATCATTTTGATATTTCATATTACTCATCCTGATTCTGTTCTATCTTCAGATCTAGACAGCTGTTGGAGCTACAATAGGCCAAGCCAGGCAAATAAAGTGTTCAAAATGGGGGAACCAAGTGCTAGTGGAAGTGAAATTCTTGCCAATACAAAAAATATAGCAGATGTGGTAAACTCGGGCATTATAGAACTAGTTGTAAAGTCAACTTGCCAAGGTACAATTAATATTATTTTTTTCATATGTAGCTTCTTTGTGAATTTCTTATATGTTTAGTTTAGTTGTTTTCAAGTCATATGAAGAATTTAGATTAGATTAAAGCAGTTCTTTTTGGGTATTCTCACTTCTCAGGTTACTTTAGTATCCCCTGCCAAACTATGGTTTTTTATATATTTATTTTCTTTGCATGATTTTGTTCAAGATTAAATAATATAAACAACAGGTCTGGCCATAGGTACTCTCAGTGAGGAATTGACAGTTAACTTCATTAATAGCTGCAGCTTGTGTAAATTAGAGATATCAATAACATGACCTATGATTTGCTTTTTTGTGAATTTTTTATATGTTCAGTTTAGTTGTTTTTAAGTTAATTCTGTACTTTTAACTTCAACATGGAATGAGCACACAAAACATCATAGCACTAATTTGGTGTTAATATTTATCATGAAATTTACAGCTAGGCCAATTTGTGGAGAAGAAGAAGAGCAATATTGGGAAAAGAAGAGGAAACAGAGAAGAATGATGACGATATGATGAAGATATATCGTTACAAACCAAAATGTTTACATTATGAATGAGTCGCCAATTATGAATGTGTCGCCAATTATGAATGTGTCGCCTATTTGTAAACATGTTTATGAAATTAATTAGTTATATGGTTACCTTTTAAATGGTAGATATTGATTCTTATATTGCTACAAATCATGAATTTTATCTTCAGGATGATATTCTGTCTTGTTGCCCGTGTTTTGGAGTTTCACAGATGCCTGTGTTTTGAAAGTTAGTCTTGTTGACAGTGTTTTGGAGTTCACAGATGCCTTGCTATTGATTTTTGACTTTGATTATTATCTTTCTCAGATCTTTGATATGCATGTGATACATTATGAGCACCTGGGAGGTGAATTAGTCACAGGAGTATTTTCAAGGATCATCTTTAATACAGGCATGTTTTCATTATTAAAGTAAGTACCTAGGAATTTAGATATTAGTTATAACCGTTCTCTCTCGTAG